ATATCGAAGGTATAAGAAAAAACCTCATACTTTTATACGTCGTACCGAATTTACGTTATTTACACAAGTTTTTTGAAATAAGTACACACATCAACTGAGAAGAAACGCGCAAGGTAAAATAACTTTAATTACATAACAGACGATGAAATTTAATAAGTCGATTAGTCTAACGAGAAAAAAGAAAATGAGATTCCTTAAAATAAAGAGACAACTGTTATTTTAGTTGCTTTCACAATACCTATACACACCGTGTATTTATTATAATTTATTATATAAATTTGAATACGTAAAATTCATTCATACGTATTTGTCTTGATAATTAACAACTAAAAATAAAATTTAACAGAAATAGAAATATATTTTCCAGAAATTCACTCATATACGTATTTGTCTTGATAATTAACAACTAAAAATTAAATCTAACAAGAATGGAAATATATTTCCCAGAAATTAACTTTAGAGACAGGAGGAAAATGAAGTGGAGAAAGAGAGGGTTTAAATCGCATGAGAAGTGCAACAGACTCGCGTACTTGGATAAGGATTAAGGAATTTAGGGTTGCCTTCCCGATCCTTAAGACGCATCGCAGACGTCGGATTGACGAAGTCGGCCTCGTGTCAACGTCGGAATCCTTCACCACCAAAGTTCCGCTGTTTTTATTCGAGTCGGTCGGCCAGTCGTCGACCGACCAAGAGTAGCTCTCTACTCAATGAATGATTTCCGCGCGACGTTGCCACATTACGTCTGCATTCTGCACCCATTACTGCATCAAGCATGCTTTTTCTCCCGTTCGTTCGAGCATGGACGATCACACGCGTTGCGTAACGCATCTGGCGTATTTATTGTTTCGTGTGTTAATGAAGCGGTTTCGTGACGGCGGTGAACTAATAAATACTTCGCCAATGTCGAAACTCGCTGCATTAACTGCATTTGCTGCACGATTCGTTTCATTTTAGGTTCTAACGTCGATTAATTGTGCAGAAGAAAAAAAACAAGATTTAATCTCGGCTGTTGAAGAGCAATTATATCAATTAAGTGAGATATGTACGTCCGTGCTCTCTGCGTGCGAAATTAACGTGGAATTTATTCCATAATATGGTCGGATAGTGTATAGAGCTGTAAACGAAACTAATATTTCGAAGCCGATTCCCCGTGTGTAGTTGTAATCGTGTATTGAGAATGATTGATCATCACAGACGCGAACACGTGATTCAGCTATAACGCAATAAAGAACTTCGTCGAGAAAATTCTTAGTGGAAAAGAAAAAAAGAAGATGGTAAAAAATTCTATCGTGCCAGAAAGATCTGCGCGCTATTAAAATTCGATCGAGAAAAAAAAACAAGGAAGTAAAGTCTAGGAGAAAATCTTGAAGAAACAGATTCTAGGTATAATGGATTTTTGGATTGGTATATATTAATCAAAGATATTTTATTATTTCTCTTACTAATGTCCTCTTATTCATATCGAATCGCGTAAAAAAAAAAATGCAATTAAAATACTATTATATCGTTTTGACTTCTGTTCGCAAAATACCCAGGCAACTGATTGATAATTCTAATATGACCAAACGATTAATAACGTATCGATATGACAATCGCGAAACTTTACCTTCGTATTATCGATTAATTATTTTATCGATTAATTATCTAATGGAGGGGACAAATATTAATCTTGAAACCGCGCGATATTTGATCTGACAGTTCCGGCCGGAAAAGATCACACGCGTTTCTTATCGGTTAAAGCAATATCCGCGCATAAGAATATCGTATTACAAATTGAGATATTGAAAGAGTTGAGGCAGAGATTTATTGCCGTTAACTTCCTGCGTGACGTACACGTAAAACGTAAAAAAAAACCGCGCAAATCCCCAAACAATTACATATAATAACGGGAGCATTAATAATTATACATATAGTACTTTAAATAGATGATATTTTATTCATATACGATAATATTTTATACTGCAATATTTTATACTGCGATAATATTTTAGACTGCAAAAACGTGTATACTAATGATTTTCCATGAAAAACTATGTGTCATTTTCATATTTAACCTACCCTTCATTGCTATGCCCTTGCAATTCCCGTGTTTCCCAAAGAGCCGCGTTTAAAACGCTGCTTCCGCAAGATAATAAAGGGTCGTGTAATAATCTCGCATACGCACACGAGGAAGAGGAGAGAGAAAGAGACGGGAAAACTCCAGGACTACCGGCGCCATGGCGCACCGCCTCCCTTTGTCCCTTTATTCGCACAACGACCGACGACCTCTCGAGCGATACCCGACTACGATGTACGAGGGACCCCCAGGTAAACTCGACGAGCGGACAAGACGCGGAAAATTCTCTCGAGCATACCGGATGTTCGAGGGAAAAACTAATTTTCATAGTCGCGCAAACCTGACGCTATATATAGCTCGTCTCGAGGCGATATTGACCTCTCCGTTTGGGACACACTGTCATGGTGTCCAGCAGACTCGATGAAAAAAATTCCCTGACTTTTCCAGATTTTCCAAGATCAGAAATTAATTTTTTTCCACTTTTTAGTATTATTTTTTCCAACTATATAATTTACATATATCTGTATGATAAATCAATTAAATGTCAAATCATGAAATCCTTGAGATATTTTTGTCGACAATGATAAGGTTCGAAAGTTGAAACAAAAATTTAAATCAATTCTACAATCTGTTATTAATTATGTGTACAATAATCGAAACAAACATGTCATTATAAACTTTAAATAATCCTTTTTTATTTTTATATTATATCAAATTGTTTAGTTTTATCTCTATCAACCACACATTGAAATAAAATAACACGACGATGAAAATATAAATTAACGAACACGCTGTAGATGAATCAATTTTTAACAACACAGAAAATTAGTGTGCTGGGAGCCAAGGAAAAGTTTCTATTTATTTAATAAAACATTTCAAATTATTGAGACAAATGTAGAATAATGTAAAAAAATCCAGATAAAAATAGTAAAATTTCCTGACTTTTTCCCTAACAATGCCCGGTTTTCCAAATTTCCCTGCTAGACACCCTGGCTATATAGTTCGTCTCTCGCTAGGCGATATTGACCTCTCACTGTGTTTGGGACACTGTGTAGAGGCGACTGGTGGTCGATGGCAGTCCACGCACGCGGGGTTTGTTTACAAGACGTGCCTCTCTCGCTACCGGAGTTCCTTGACTCGGAGTCCAAGTGAGACGGTGATGTGGACTCTTCACCTTGCGCGCACGCATATATACATATACGCACACGTACGCGTTTCCACGTTCGTCTCTCCCTTTGCCAGTCCTTGTTCCCCTACCTTTCTAGCTTTATTCGTCGATGTTACCCTTCGCCGTGTCGATTATCTCGATTCACCGCTGATGCCTTGCTAATCGCGCCGACTGGGAGGCGGTGTCCGTCGAGTCTCAGCCGCTCGTAAATCACGGAACCGTCGACGATGGGAACGAATCGCCGGCAATTATCGTTCGAATAATCGAAACACGGTGGAAGCCAACGACACGGTTCGTCGTCACCTGTCAACTGACTCTTTCGATGCCACAAATCTGGCGATGCCACTGTCTGCGTGTTTCTGTCTCTCTCTCGCAGTCTCTTTCCCTTTACTCTATTGGAATTTGCGTGTATGGGGCAATATTTACGCTGTGCGACCTGTTAGTTTATTTAAATGCAATTGACGTCGAGAACGATAAAGGTGCACGATCGCGTAAGAATCAATTAAATTACGTGATGCGATTAAGTTCGCTTTGCAGTTCATTAGCGCTTTGCGTTTCGCGACTTCTCATGTTTTATTGATAAAATTCCATTTCAAAATTCAATTTCATCGCGGAAAATAAAATTTGCCACTGTAACTAAATTTTGGCTGTTTCTACATTACAATATGAAATTTAGTTATGCCAAAATTTTTACTATACGATAACTAATATTTTTTGATTATAGTTTAACACGGAGAATTCGATAACTAAAAAATATTATATAGCTATCATAGCTAAAATTTAGGTATGATAACTACTTTTCTGTGTAATATAAAAACAGCTAAAATTTGGCTATATGGTAGTTAATTTTTTTCCGTGATCCGATTCAATTCAAGAATGATTACGATTTATAAAGAATGTATACTGAGTGAGCATACAATAAATATGTTAAAAAAATATTAAATTCTTTGATCGTAAATTAAAAACAAATTTGAAATTGTTTTACAAATTGTGATAAAATATTTAAATGTAAATGTAATTTTGAAAGAGCATCATTATGCTAAAACTCTTGCTATTTATACATAATTCGATAGTATTTAAATAAACATCATGTATATTTGTTAAAAGATAAATATGCGGTAAAATGCTTACCGCACTAACGCGATAATTATTTCCAATATCATCGCAACCAGACAGAATAAAACATGGCAGACTTGACGCTGCCGTAGATAAATGAGAACATTCACGCTCTGTATAGTAAAGTACCATAGAACCGGATCGAGTGAGAAGAATGCCTCGTCCGATTGTCCGTGTTCAATCCATATCCAGACAGATATAACCAATCCAATAGAGAAACTCTCGTATCATTGTAGCTACTAATATCGCTTTAAATCGCAACATCTTCACGGAAAAAAATATTAGCCATATCATAGTTAAATTTTAGTCCCTCTATTACACCTGAAATTTAATTATCATGCCTTGACTAATATTTTTTAGTTGTAATTAAACGAAGAATTTTCTGTTAAACTATAGCTAAAAATATTAACTGCACGGAAATCATTATATTGCTCGTCTATACATTATTTAAAGAGATTTAATCCTAATAAAATTTGTCAAGATTATTATAAATCTTTCGATATAAATTTGATTATATATTATATAAAAAATCAATCGTCAGGTAATATAAAAAAATGTCTTCTCCCATGTATATTATCAATATACGCCCACGTGCACAGTTTTCGCAGCGCGCGTTTTCCTGGCGCGAAAAAAATCACATATGTTTACCGAATGACTCACCTATGACGGTGTTCGCTGCCACTTCCTTGGCGGCGGCCGCAGCAGCTGCGGGTCCATGCGCGAGGAAATCACTCAAAGACAGGGAAGACGCGATGATCTGCCGCTTCTCCTCGAAGTTTAGATAATCCAGACTGTTGCTGCGCTGCGGCGCAGTCACGATCGTCACCGTTTTCGTCGTCGAGAGATGATGATGATGGTGGTGATGATGGTGCTGTTGCTGCTGCTGCTGCTGCTGCTGTTGCTGATGATGATGGTCCACGCTCTTGTCGTTCCCACCGTTGTCGGAACCCGGACTGGTGGGCACCAGGTAGACGCCGCTCACGCGTATCGACATCGCGGCGCTCGGAGGCCGATCCTTGCAGCGACCCCGTCTCTTTCGGCGCCACGGGCTGAGGATCGCTACGAGTGCCGGCAACGGAGCTACCGGGTCCTGGGTCCTGTCAACGCGGCGCGCATCCCGGTGTGCGGCTGCTCGAGGCTTTGGCGGCGGCAGCGGCTCGCGTCGTCGTCGTTCGACACTTCTCGTTCGCGGCTCCACGGCTCCCGACGATGACGAGAGGACGATCGTGAGACCTCGAGATCACACGTGCGGTGATCGTTTTCGCCGAGTTCTATCCGGAGCTTTTTATACGAGCGGGCATCGGGTGCCGGCAGATCTTCAGGATCTTATTGTGAATCGCATTTGGAAATTAATTTGTATATCGAATCTCGTGAGCGGCGGTTTATCACATCGAGTGATTAATGAGGCTCTTCGTTATCGCTGGTGACGATGTCGGAGCTAATTATCTTGCAAACGAAAATTCCTTTTCGCTGACTTTTTTGTTATTCTATCGTGACGATGGCACTGAGCACTCTTCGATCGGGAAGCAAGATTGACGAAAAATCATCGTCTGTGCCGAGATCGGTTTTCACGGAGTCACTGGCTATTTACAACGGAATTCCACGCGATTGGCACACACTATGGAAAATTACTCGCACTCGGAGAAGATACGCGAGAGCGACTGGCGGACGTTGATGACTGGAGGAGAGTCGCGTCCCTGCGCATCAGCGAATGAGGAAAAGTTAAACTACTTTAGAGACCACTGCCCGACCGTCATGAATGGCAAGCATTGTGTTCACCCGATGATTATGTAACGGATCGAGCGAATTTCTCTCAAAAATGTATCGGGGAAAAAATATAACTGGAACATCTGATTTGATTTGTGAAAACGAAATCCGATTTTGCAATCTCGAGTGGATAAATTTTGAAAAATGGAATATTAATTCTTGCTTGAACGTGTAATTATTAATATGACGAATATATATAACATAATCGGAATATGTGTGTGTGTGTGTGTGAGAGAGAGATTAATAGATGCGCTTGTAATTAATTGAAATGAAAATCGAATCTGTATCTCGCCCCGGAATTTTCATGAGATGCAGATTAAGGTGATTACGAAGAAAATTTTTCGCGTAATTTTCAACGATGAATGCGAATGAATTTTCCGAGGTATTCGATCGATTGATAGGATATCGCGCATTTCTGTACCATCATTTCTAAAGGATATCGAAAGCTGCTGCTTTCCGCGCGATATGAAACGTCCGGCCATCGATATTTAATTATTTCGGCGCGATTTACGGCCAGATTTATGAACGATAAAATTATTTCGCAGGATAAAACGATCGGGGGCGTTAATGAAAACGCGATAAAATAGAAATAATAACTTTATTCGGCGCATGTGTAAGAACAAAAATCGATTCGTTTTTTAGCGATACCGCTGCTATGTTTACGTTAACGTTAATATACGCGATGTACAACTGTGTTCGCGGGATGTTCCATTTCTATTGTATTATCTACGAACCGAAATGAATGGAAATGGAGCTTAATATTACACAATACGTCGCGTTGCGTGGCGTTTTGTAAATACTGTTGTGTACTTGGTAGATGCTGTTTACCCGAACGATTCTACGTCATGCCGTACAACGTTTAATTAATTAACCACGCCCCGGACCCTAATTTAGAAAAAATGCTCCAACGAAAATAAATCATTTGGATAAACAAGAGGAAAGATTTGTCGCCTTTGTGTATACACAGGCTTTTTTTACGCGTCTCCCGATATTTCCTGCGACATTCAACAGATAATTAACTACGCTTCGTCACTCGCTCTAATGAACGATCGGAATATTTTCACATTACAAACACTCATTTTCGTATCACGAGAGACGCGATCGTTCGAGTCACGTTCTTCTAAGAAACCATTTTAAGCCGCGTATTCTGGTTTTCGAAATCTAAAGATAAACGGCAAACACATCGATACGGTGTCGGAGAATGCTTTGTAAGATCCATTCACGAGCCGAACGACCGACTAACCTTCAAGGACAAATCGGCGATCCTAGGGCGTGTTGATCCGCGCTTTCGTTATACATGAGTAACAAATTGTTCTTCTCTCTCTCACACACATACACGAAAAATGAACGTGAAATCCGCACAATCTTGTGCATAAATACCGTAAGTACGTACTCTGGTGATCGACGACGAGGTCGAGGACGACTCGGGCAGTGAAGGGCTCGGTTTTCTCGGCAGGATTCGGGAAGAAGCGTCGAGGCGTAACTCTTTTGGGTTCCCCCGACGTTATATCACAGAGAGCAACGCAGTCGTCGACTCACATCCGCTGCTTCCACGGGACACCTGTCCGCGCCAGGGCCAGGAGTGCAGGTGAGAGGAGAACGAGACAGCGATAAGAGGACGCAACGATCGTAAACACACGGGAGCGGCGCGTAGTACTCCGATTTCGGAGTACACACAGACATACACGACCAAGGGTTAGGTAAGGTATTCGCGGGAAGAGAATGAGTTTGGGCCAGAGTTCACACGGAGGAGGGAAAGATAAACGCTGAGAGAGAAAGAAAGATGGAGAGATGGCGACCAAAGGAGCACAGGGTTCCTCTTCGTCGTCGATTATGACGACGCCGACGTCGGTGTATACACAACGCACACTGTCACGCACACTAAATATATATATATATATATACTCACACGGATTATACGCGTACGACACAGACTCACTGAATGCCGCCGCCGTTCTTCCTCCTGTTCGCGCGAGACCGAGGGAGACAGAGATGGATATCGTTCGGCGGGGTTAAAGGAACGACGCGACGACGGATGACGAGACTGACGGGGTCGTCGCGGACTCGGGGCGGGACGGATTCGCGAACGGAATGAATTGCGTACGTGCGCGGACGACCGACGTGCGAAAACAAGCGGCCAAGGCGATGGTGAACGACGGGTAACGGCGACGACGACCGCGCCACGAAACACACACCGAGCGAGGCTCGCGAGTACTGAGAGCGGCCATGCGATCGAAGCGTCATCTGGCGGCGGCGAGACGACGACGCGGCCGGCTGCTTTGACGCGGCGGTGGCACTTTGTATATTCTCTTCGACGTAACTCTCCTTCCTCCCTCTCTTCTGCCCAATTAACGCAGCATTCGCGCTCGCGTTACACACGGGGACACTGACGATTATAACCGTGCGAAAAACTTTCTCGGATCAAAGCGATCCGTTACTATTCATGTTACATTGTAGAAGCGTCGCGTAAAGAGACCGAACTATTTATAACTGTGCACGTGGGACGGAGATGTCAATTATTTCTGTTTAAGTTTTTTTAACTATCCTCTTTAGTAGTGGCTATAGAGAGAGTATTGAAGAAGATCAAATTGATTGATTGATCTATAAAGTATCTATAATTATTAATATAAATAATAGCATAGAAAATACCTCACAAATTAATTAAGTAATCGTGCACAGAGAATTTTTTTCTCTTAGAATTTACCCTGAAAATCATGGTAATCGTGGGACAATATTGAAAGAATCTCATAAGATTTTCTCTCTAATTAATATCTATCATAATAAGATATGTCCGATTAATTTTACTATGTGCATAGTAAAATTTACTATGTACATATTAATCTTTTTAATGTGGTAAATATTAGTCAGAAATCTCTTATAAAATTCTTCCGATATCATATTGTCCGATATCCAATTACCATGATTTTCAGGACAAAATTTAAGAGAAAGTTCTCTCCGCATGTAAAATATACTTTAAAAAGTTTTACTTCAGACTTCACTTCCTCTGTTAAGGAGTTTTCAAAACTAGTATTTCATTCATTTCATGTTAAAAATATTTTATCTAATCACGCCGATAGTTTGTCGGCAATAAGATAAGCAAGTATTGATTATCTGTATTTCATCTAGATCTAGAAAATGCTGATGTATTGACAAAGGACAAATAAGTATATACATATACCTATATACATTTTTCAAATATATTTTTTCAGATTTTCATTATTATTTAAATTTGAAATTAATTTAAAAATTACAAACAAAGATCCCCCTATAGCATTACAAATTAATATTTATGAATGCAATTTCTATAATTCCATAATTAAAAAATATCGAATTCTCTCTTTCATTTGTCTGTAATCTCAATCGTTAAATCATGTTTGCAGTTACGAGCTGTTTGCAGTTAACGAATGGCAAACGAAAGTTGCTTATCCATACTAGATGATTATCAATTCCACACGCTTTCTTAAATGAGCACAGATACGTGCGTAAGTCATGCGTAAGTCTAGGAATCGAGATGACAATCGTGGGTGTGGCAAATACGAAGCAGTGGATTGGCGAAACAGGAAAGGATGACGCGAAATATACTGCGTTCGTCGTAATTTAAATGGACAAATACGCCGACAATTAGACGAGGCTGCACTAATTTTTTACGAAGTGATAATTTTAAACGTACATATTATATAACTTACAGTTTGATGACCGAGACTAAATCAGACGGACCACATAAAAGATCTCTCGCTCTCTTTATAATTTGAGATACATACCTGAAACAGAAAAAATAAAATTCTATTATTAAATGTTTTCCCTCGATCCACGTGTACTGAAATATTAATTCACAATATAAATTACATAAATGAAATAAATGCATTTCTACAAACTCCTAGTTAATTCATTATTCATTAATCATGAATAATAATAAAAACTCGACAAGTGATAAATCATGTTTAAATAATTTTGCATTAAAATAGAATAGACAAAACTGGCTGTCGTAAAAGCTATTGTTGATGGGAGATAAATCGAGAATATATCGTGTATGCGTTATACTTTTTACGATCGCGCGACTGTCGACAGATTAAGAGCATTTATTTCACGTTATGGTCGTAGATCGCACATACGGGCTAATTGTAAGCTTTATTTTTGTAGGCTTGCGAGGATCTAGACGAATCTTTGAAATAATGGACGGACGCGCGAATATTTGAATTGAAAGACGGCGGATGTAGTATGACCACGTGGTATTTCCGAGACGTCTAGACTCGCTAATTTAAACCGACTCGTGAATATCCACCGCTTCTTTCGGCCCGGTCTGCTCGCTGTCACAACTAAGGCCTGAGATGTGAGAAACATTTCGCACGCGGAGAACGGAGCGAGAGTATCGATCTTGAAGGTCGCTCCGTTAGAAAGTATCCGCGCTACATGCGGATGCACGTCAGTAATCAATAGTAGCAGATACAACCTTTGAGTAATTTACAATCGATCCGTGAATCTATATCTCTGAACCGTTAAGAGGATTGTGAATTTTATCAAATTATTGGATCTTTTTAGACTCACGAAACATTGTACTCACGGAAAAAATTAGCAACCCTAGCTAAATTTTAACTGTCTCTATATTATTATGTCTAAATTTTAGCTATGTTAAATAATATTTTTATCTATAAATTAACGGAGAATTCTATAGTTAAAAATATTAGCTATCATAGCTAAAATTTAGACTTAATAACTAAATTTCATATGTAATATAGGGACAGCTAAAATTTAGCTATTGTGGTTAATTTTTTTCCGTGCTGTATTAATGTATGTACAACATTTTTGTAAACCACTCCTTCGAAGAAATCATCTGTATGAGTATTTTCGCTATTAAATCCAATTACTTCCTGACAGGGCATATAGCTCTTTTTAATTAACGCGCGATGTAATGAATTACGCGTTCGCATAAATAATTACAAAATAAAAATTAGCAGATTTATATGTAAATCGAGCTTGTTCTTCTTCTCGTTTCATCTCGCATCCACGATGCCTCTTACGTAACTACGAGATATCGTGAGCGTAAGCCTTGTACATGTTTAATCTATGCATATTGCTAACGGTATATAAGACCAGCTTATTTAGAAATTAGTAGTTATTATACACATTACAAAGATTGTGCAAAGGACATAATGTATGCACAGCGGATGTTCTTCTGAGACATTAATGCAGATATTAATTTCTTTCTCTCTCTCTCTCTCTCTCTCTCTCTCTCTTCTTTCTTATACAACTTTACATGTCATGTGCATCTCTCTTACAAATTTCACCATTATTTCCAAATAAATGATACAGCTAGAAAAATAGCATATTATAAATATAATGAGCGATTAAGTATATTATCAAATCTTTTTTCAACATACATTTAATTTGGAAATATATACAAGGTAGAAATATATATCCACGGAATGGTTGCCACAATTTTTAATTCACTTACAACGTGATCAAAATAATTAAAACGATCAAATTTGATCACTGATTATTTTGATCGCTTTCGATCATTTTGATCATTTTTATTATTTTAATTGCATTGAAAATTGTAGAACTGATGATTATTTTCTGTTAAAACCTGATAAAGTTCTGTGCAAGACTTTTGTCAGATCGTGTCTTTAAAAACCGTGACGATCATTACGAGGATCGCCCTGTATATACATACATAATCTCTTTAATCTAACACTTGCATGAAATTGATCGATTTATTCATTATGTATCAATAGGTCAATATTGCGACGCAAAATGTTGCATTGTATCGCAGTTCAGCGGTCAAAGAACTCTCGGTCTCTCGCCGGCGCGATGGCAAAGGTCCACTCGCAAAGTTAAGCGAGCTATAAACTGTTCCCTGACCCGTCTCATCGATCGCAATAAATTAAGGTCAATCTACATATTTCTGAAAAATAACAATCTCTCGGCGAATGACTTTATTTAGGTTCGACGCTTAAAAATTCGCCGAATACACACAGAGATCTTTCGAAAAATATTCAATACATATAACGATTCGCTTATCTCAAGAAATCTTTACGCGAATATTAAAAATATTATTCTTACATTATATTTATTACGATGCAAACTATTCTCTTATTTTTGTAATTGATAAGAAAATATAAAGCAATGAAAAATATGTGCAATAACTGATTATTTTTCTATATAATATTTCGTACTTAAAGAATTAAGTATAGAGACGCTATATAAGTATAATTTAAGTTGATTTTTCCACAAAAAGCCTACCTATTTGATTATGTATTTATCAAACAAGAAATTAAGAGATCTACGAGAATTTAATTCTCATAATTGTCTGCACGCGATTCAATAGAAAGTTCCGAGGATTCCTCGCGAGCACAAAAGCCGCCCATTTGAACGAATTTTAATTGCAATAAGGAATGTCGCTCAGCTGACCCGAATTATAAGACAATTTACTATTAAATGGTTGAGACGTATAATTAAAGCAAAGTGACAGTACATCAGCGACAACCACAGGCAGCTGACGGTCGAACACATTTACGCGTGTACTCGCGCGCTCCCATATTAAATGCAGCTACTTACGAGAGACACGAGCAGTTGCGCGAATTACACGCCAGACGAAAATATCATTCGTAAGCGAGAGGAGTCCTTTCGCGAAATCGCACGCGGGGAATAGCCACTTTGGACGATGCAATTTACCGCTTGCACAACACGCAAAACTCGTAGCTCGTAATTAATTACTGCAGATTTTGCTGCAGTGGAATTATTTTTCGGCCATATTAAAACAAATATCGGTAAATTTTAGCAATATTAAATACTAAAGCCGTTTAAATTTGACAATTACGCCTTATAAAATTTGTGAATATATATATATATGAGATTGTTAGAAATCACTGTGTTGATTTCAACTCCACAGAAGGTATAAATAGTTAATCTTTTTCTTAAAAATGAATATATAAAATTGAAGCTGAGCATATTGTTGCTTGAGCAAAGATATATTTAGATTACAATATAAATTTCATGTTGAGTGTTTGAAGCAACTATTCCTTTTCAAAAATTTTTCTACATCATGCAATTACGTAAGAATCATTACAACTATTAATCAAAATCTTTAAAAAAAAATGTTGGCACACTTAAGTCTCTTTGCAAGATAAATTACTTGCATCGAGGTGGAAGATGCCACCTTTCTTTTCTCTACCTTTGAGGTGTGAACTGCGTCTTCATAGAAAAGAAGACACAGAGTATCCTTCAAAGG